GTACACTGCAAAGGAGAAGAATTCAACATGTCAAAAATATATCGGCACTCCCATGTTTACTGAAGCAGTATTCACAACAGCCAAGATTTGGAATCAACCTTAGTGTCTGTCAATGGATAGATGAAGAAAGAAATTGTGGTACATATACACAATAGAATATTATATAGACACACAAAAAAAGAAGTGAAATCCTTCTGCAATGGCATAGATGGAACCGGAGATCATTAAGTGAAATAAGCCAAACACAGAAAGGCAAACCTCACATCTCACTCATATGTGGGAGCTAAATATTAAAAACAATTGATCTCATGAAGACAGAGGATAGAATGATGGTTACCAGGGGACGGAAAGGGTAGCAGGACTGGGGGATAAAGTGTAGAATGTGAATGAGTAAAAATATATACAATATAGTTAGATAGAATGAATAGCATGTGATAGCACAATAAAGTGACTATAACCAACAATAAGTCAGGCTGTAGGCATTAAAATAAGTAAAAGAGCATTATTTTAAAAGAACACACAAAAAATGATAAATGCCTGAGGTGACAGTTACCCCAATTACCTGATCTCTTTAATTCTCATTTTATGCCTGTATCAAAACATCATGTATACCCTACAAAGATATAAAACAATCATGTCCTCATATTAATTTTTTAAGTTGATTAGGGGCCAAGTGCAGTGGCTCATGCCTGTAATCTCAGCATGTTGGGAGCCTGAGATAGGAAGGTTGCCTGAAGCTAGAAGCTTGAGACTAGCCTGGTCAACATAGTGAAATCCTTATTTTTATAAAAACAAAAACAAAAACACTCAGCCTACCATGATGGTATGTGCTCATAGTCCTAGCTACTCAGGAGGCTGAGGCAGGAGGATTGCTTGGGGCCAGGAGTTTGAGGTTGCTGTGAGCTATGATCATGCCACTGTGAGTGACAGAGACAGAGTGAGACCCTGTCAAGAAAGAGAAGAAGAGGAGAGGGGAGAAGAAAAAAGGAGGGGAAAAGAAGAAGTAGGGGGGGGAGGAAAAAAGAAGGGAGGGGAGGGGAGAGGGAAGGAAGGAAAGGGGAAGCAGTGGGGAGAGGGGGAAGAAGGAGAGGAAGGAATAAAAGGAAAGCAAGATTAATGTGTTGCCAGGTGCTAGAGGGGACAGAAAACAGGGAGCAAGTGTCTAATGGAGACAGGATTTCTGTTCAGGGTGATGAAATAGTTCTGGAACTAGATATACATGATGGTTTAGTGAAAGTACTAAATGCCACTGAATTGTATACATCAAAGTGGTTAAGTGTACATTTTTTTGAGGCCTTTTAAATCATGTATTATAACTAGATGCTGCCACCTGCTGGACAATTTATAAGTGCCTTGCACTTTCCTGGCAAAATATTACAGAAGGAAACACAGTAAGAGGTTCCCATTTTCCTAATAATACTTACAGAAACAAAGAAACTTAAAAATGTATGACTATATTTAAGGTTGATCAAAATAATTTTAATTTTTATGCTTTGAATTAGGATTAATAGGCTGAGGTTCAATAATTAATGGGAAAAGAAATTCCTCTCAGAGTGTAGTTTCACACTATCTTACAATATCTGGCTATGCCAGAAGAGCACTCCCATGTTCACTGCAGCACTCAGTATTCACAATAGAACCAACCTAAGTGTCTATCAACAGAATGAATGAATGGGCAATTATGTACCCATAAAAATCAAAAAGATTTTTTAAAAAAAGAACCTCTCCCAAGAAAACCCCCAGATGAATGGATAAAGAAAATGCGGTCTACATCGACCAGTGAATACTGTTCAGCCTGAGAAAGAAGATTCTGTCATTTGTGAATAGAATTAAAGAACATATGCGAAGTGAAATAAGTCAGGTGCAAACAGATAAATACCACATGTTCTCACTAAGATATAGAATCTAAAACAAACAAACTTATAGAAGCAAAGAGTAGAATAATGGTTACAGAGGCTGGGAGGTGAGGAAAAGAGGGAGATGATGGTACAAAAGGGTGCAAAGTCCCAGTAAGATCTATGGCACAGTTATTAACTATATTAATATATAACTATATACATAATTGTGTATATATAGTAACATATAACTGTTTATATATTAAAATAATTATAATTAATGTTATACGTTATAACAATAATGTAGATTATAATTAAGTTAAAAATAATACTCAAGGCTCGGCGCCTATAGCTCAACCGGCTAAGGCGCCAGCCACGTACACCTAAGGTGGCGGGTTCGAATCCCCAGCCCGGACCCGCCAAACAACAATGATGGCTGCAACCAAAAAAATAGCCAGGCGTTGTGGCGGGCGCCTGTGGTCTCAGCTACTTGGGAGGCGGAGGCAGGAGACTTGCTTGAGCCCAGGAGTTGGAGATTGCTGTGAGCTGTAATGCCACGGCACTCTACCCAGAGGGACAGCTTGAGGCTCTGTCTCAAAAAAAAAAAAAAAAAAAAAATAATACTCAAAATTGCTAAGAAAGTGAATTTCAAATCTTCTCACAATGAAAATTGTTAAGTATTTGAGGTAACATTTATGTTAATTAGCTTGATTTAGAAATCATAACATCATTTTGTACCCCATAAACATATTCAATTATAAATTCTCAATTTACAATAAAGTTTGTAAAAAAACTTCATGGCATAAAACAATGAACATTATATCATGCTTGTACTTTTGTGTGTCAAGAATTTGGGGTACACAGGGAACAGTTTGTTTCAGCTCCATCAGGAATGAGGCCTCAGCTGGCTGGGTGGCTCCATTCAGCGGGGGCTGTGTGGAGTAGGTCCACTGAGAGCATATGTCCAGTCTTAGTTATTCTCTACATGGTGTTTTCTGGGGCTGAAATATCCAACCAAGGTTGCTCCTTTATTCACATCTCTGGAGCCTGCTTAAGAGCGTTGGTTGGAAGCTCAGCTTCCTAGGGCTACTGTAACCAATTACCATAGGCTCAGTGACTGAAAACAGGAAATATATTCTCTCACAGTTCTGAAATTTAGATATCTAAAATCAGGGTATTGGCAGAGCATTCCCTCTGACTCTTCCTTGTGTCTTCCCAGCCACTTGGGGCTCCCAGCCATTCTTGGCATTTCTTGGCGTGTAGCTCCATCATGCTCATCTCTGCCTCTACCCAACATGGCCGTCTTCCCTGTGTCTCTGTTTCTGCATCCTCTTCTTTTCTTATAAGAGCTCCAGTCATTAGGTAGAGGGCTCACCCTAATCTACTATGACTTCATTTAACTGATGACATCTGCAAAGACTCTGTTTCCAAATGCAGTCCCATTCTGAGGTTCCAGTAGACTTGAAATTGAGGGGACAGACCCAACTGGAATCACTACAACCAGTACCTGGCCAGCCTCCCTTTCTCTCTGCAAGCCTCTTCCTATGGCTTGAGTAGGCTTTCTCACAGTAGGGCCACCTCAGGGAAGACTAACCCCTTATGTAACTTTCCTCTGGATGAGCCTTCTACAATTGCCAATCTTCTTAAAAGCCAGCCCTAGAAATGGCACAGTATCATTTCTGCAGTGATATACCAAAGTTGTACCAGGCTAGCCAAGACTGAACAGGGAAGGAGAGAGAGAGACTCCACCTCCAAATGAGTAGAATGAATGTACATGGAGGAAGAAACTGAGGCAGCCAACTTGGAAACAAACTACCACACAGATCTATTCTTATTGCCAGCTAAAGGGGCTCGTGAGATACAAATTAGTGGAGGGAGGAAGGCTACAAAACATCATGTATGTAATTTGATCCCACTTTTATTCTTAAATGTATATATGGATATTAGCACTAAATATGTCTCAACAAAGAGTAAACCAAACTATCAATAGTGACTATTTCTGCAAGTTGAGAATTTGAGTGACTGTACTCTTTTCGTTGACTAATATTTTCTCATATAGATTACACATGTGTTACTTCTGTACAAAATGAAAGATGCAGAAAGTAATGATCGATGCTTTTAATATAGACAGACTTACATTTTTTGGTGTTTCAGTTAGAATATACAAATGGCAAGGTAAATTTCAAGAAGGAAAGTCTAGACGTAGATCATCCATAATAACCTTAGAAATGTTAATTCTTTAAAAGAGTCCTTTGTCATATAAAGGGCAACCTAGATGGGGCACCCGGTATCTTAGGAGAAACATGTGTAAACTCAAATCCCTCAAGCCCAAGAAGCTTCTGTGTTCTCAATGCTGGGTGCAGAAAGAAACAAAACTGAAGAATATCCTTCATATCAAAGCTCATGCCACTGCAGTAGCCTGAATCAGGTTCTTGAGATTCTAAAATGGTAGATATTCATTTTGTAAGACAAAAAGATCCTAGTATTCTCAAAGAAATCAGAGGCTCCTCCTTAGAGCCAGTCTACCCACTCAGAACTAGAGGACTACCTATGTAATTTCAAAACTATCCTGCAAAAAATTACCAAATGTTTCCAATCTCTAAAATTTTCACCATTATATAAGGGAGTCAAAGGTGACAGGACTCCATCGTATTTCTGTTTTAAAAGAATAATAATATTCATAAATATGTATACGCACAAAGGAGAAAGGTAGAAACGTGCAGAATTAATTGGCTTGTCTCAAAAAGTCAGACTGTGAGAATAGGAATAGGACAAATTAATACTGAATTTTTATGAAAAGGGCTACACAGCTCTTAGCAATACCTTGTGAGAAGATCCTAGGCAGTTACGGGAATTGTCTATATAAAATGGATGTTTAGAGATGTCTAATAGAGACAGGAAATAAAGGCAAAAACACACTTAGTCTCTATCCCAATTTTTCCTGCCTTGTCCGCCTCACCATTGAGTTGATACAAACCCTAAGACACTGAAACATACCCAAGCTCAGAGTAGTTCCACATAATCCTTCCTAATGTGATCAATTACTTCCTCTAAAGAAAAGTCAAATTCACAAAGAACAGGAAGGAAAAAAGGATTTGGAATTTCCCTTTAATCTAAATAGTCTAAGATAAAAAGCAAAGATAAGTGATGTCTCTATCTACTCACCAACAGTTTCTTCAGACACAGCAGTCAAAGATAAAAATTTTTTTGTATTTTCCATCTCTTCATTACTTTGCAAAGCTTCACTATTTTTTGCAGTCTAATGAAAGAAAAACCAAAATTTAAACACAGACAAAGGCAGCAACTATGCTCACTGATGTTTTTTATTTCAACACGGTTCCCGATCATGTACATATAAACAAGAAGGCTCACACCATTCTTATTTCCTTAATTAGGAATTGTAAACGTTTCCGGTACCTGCAAAATTCTGTCTCTATTATCAGATAGAGTTGGAATATGCATCTATCATCATATGATAACCACCTTGCTTACAGTATCTTAAGTTTCTGTTTGATATTTTTATAAGTAATGAGCCATGTAATGGTATACCATCAAATTGAAATTTCAGGCATTTCAGAATTGTACTGTATTTTGTTATGTTTCCATTTATAATTCTTCTTTTAAAGGAAATAAAAATTTGCATTGAGATTTAATTTAAAAAGGCTAACTTTTTCTGCTAAAATTTATAGAAATTATTTTTCTAGTTTAAAGCACTGCATTTGGGTTTTGCTTTCTTCTTATCTCAGGGGTCTTCCTGGAAACCTTGTAAAAATGTGTTTTCAATTATTTCATTCTTAATTCATGTTATTACCTAGGAAACGTCCTCTAAAGTCAGCCAACTGATGGAGGGCTTTATCAACAACAACCAATCTCTTATTACAGGTCTTATACCTAAAAGGAACTCTCCTTTTAGGAGCAAAATTCGAGTATGAGCTAATGGCTATATACCGAGTGAGTGCCAACATCTAGTCAATCAATATATTGAGAGTAAGATACCCCCAGGGACCGAGGTAAGTTAAGCAAGTGCCATAAATCTGTTGACACAGAAGCAAATAGAACATGGTCCCAGACCTCAGTCAAGCACTTTACAGCCTCCTAAAGAAATTTTGACCAGTACATGAAACAGTGAACTTCACAACAAACTTTTGCTCAAATAATAATGCTATCCACAGGGTTAAACTTCTATGTATTTGTGTATTCATCTCCAAACTGGAAGGTTGATACTGTTTCTGTATCAACAGCAGATATATGTACTGATGAAAGTAGCCACTACATCCTTTCTTATTCCAGAGATGGAGGACCCCCAGCCTGAAACCAGTAAGAGTTCTACTGGGCCTGTCCATGGGGGAAAGAACACCAGTACAGTGCCTGCATCTGGACAGCCGCAGAGGAAATTAACTTCTCTGGTTCCAGAAAGTTATCACCCCTGCTCCCCTGTCACACATACACATGTACACAGCACTGCCACTACCGTCACAAAATAAAGCAATTAAGGCGGACTACATCAACACCACCACAGTCCGTGCTTTTCTTACTCATCTTAGACAAAGTTGTTTTTTCCATGGCAGCATAAAAATCTTACCTTAAGTTGTTCCCATAGTTTTATTCTCATTTCTACACCTTGCTTCTTAATTTCTTTTTCTTTATATTGTCTCTTCACCAATATTTTATCAAGTCTCTTCATCTTCTGAATCGCGTCTTGAAGTTGCAAATCTACTTCTTTTGATTTCAGTTCCTCTATATTGTGTTGAAAGTAAGAAGGGGTTTGAAGTTTAGTAAAGTCACGAAGTTTTGTTGTGTTCTGGCTATTTGTTCTTTCATTCAATAAATATGTATGGCTGAAGGTAATAACTTCTACAGTGGTGTCATGTAGCTTGATTTATAAGGCACTTTAGCATGTATTCTTTATATATTCATCTAAGCACTCTGCGAAATAGACATCTCTATTTTATAGCTGAGATAACTGAGTCTTTTCGAATAGCTGATAAATTATAGCACTGGACTCAGAAGTGAGTCTCTTATGCTTTTAAATCCCAAATTCTTTCTCCTTCATTCTGCTCTACCTTCTTTATTCATGACTAACAAATGGGAAATAAAGAAGACGCAGACCCTATCCTGAAGCTGCTTCAGACTAACTGAAAGAGAAGGCATCTAAACAAATAGCTATAGCAAAAAGTAGGGTGTAAGCGACACAAAGGGGCTCCAACATTTAAGAACGAACTTAAGCGAGGACTCTGTGCAGCTAGACATCTTTTCTCTATGCTCCTTCCATGTGTTCTAATTTCTGAGTTGTAGATAGTTGATAATAACTTTTTTGAGATTAAGGACTCTTTAGAACTTTTGTCCTTCAAGTTTTAACTTATTAATGGTAATGACAACTAACATCTTAAGCTAAAACTTGAAGGACGAAAGTTCTAAAGAGTCCTTAATTTCAATAATGATAATACTCATAGAGTTACTTGATAGGCACAGTTTTAAGGGCTTTATTTAAATGCATTATATCATTTAATCATCATCTTAACCCTGTGAGGTGGTATAATCATTATTCTCATTTTATAAACTAGTAAACTGAGTCTAATTTTAACTGAGTTACATACATGTCTAAGGTGATATAATGGATAAATGGCAGAGTCAAGTTCCACCCAAGTCAGTCTGACTCTAGAGTCGAGGCTCTTCACCAGCAGGTGATACTCCCTCTGTGAAATCTGATGAAAGCTGCTAATCTGACAGTTAGAATGAATGCTCACATATTAAGTCTCGGCCATCCCAGGTTAGATATTACAACTGGAAAATTGTGCTAAGTAAGGCCAAATGTAGCAACTTTTGAAAATCCAAAGAATCCATTGATACTTCCCTATAATGTACATCATTTCTTCTTGAAGGATAAAAGGATATGGGGGGGAGGTGAGAAGCTTATCCAAATATTGATCTTATAAATAAGGAGATTCCTCGAATCTTTTGCTTCTGTACTTCAAAAGGAACAGCCTCTAGTTCTAATTCCCAGCTGCCAATCCTAGCATTCTCTGGCTCCATGTACATAGGTAGTCTATATATAGTAGGCATTCCTAAATAACTCATACAGTACTAAACAAGATAAACAAGCACAACATAAACTGGGCCAATACCTAATGTCAGCTAGAATGCCCTGTTTCCTCATAACTGTAATCCTGAGTGACCCAAACTAAATTTGAGAACTGATCTCATCTCAAACATACGCTGAAATCAGCAATCTCCAAATTTTTTATCAGCTCACCTTT